GAAAAAAACCTTGGGAGAAACCAGGCTCAGTCAGGGGGCCAGGGGGCTCCGCTGGCCAGATGAAACCAGCATGGTGTGGTTTAATTCCAGACTGCAACGTGTCAGATTGAGCAGAGGACACGTCTGGTTCTTATAGTCTTGTGCCGATGGCCGATGAGGTCTTCACAGGGGATCTGTCTTTAGGGTTCGTCTAGTTGACATGGTCTCCGCTGACAGGGCTGTAGAGGTCGTCTCTTGGTCTGATCTGGACACAGACTGGATCTGGGTGGCTACGGTGACCTCGGAATAAGAATAAAACAGACTAATATTAGCGTAGATGCCATTCTTCTTACGATGTAACAAGTACATCGGGTGTTATGGGAAGTGTTCCCGGTTCCGGTTGACCTAATTAATGGAGCCTAACAATCCTTTAATGGATTTGAATTGTAGAAAAAGGATTGTGTGTTTGTTTATACCCGGTTAAAGAGATGGGTCTTTAATCTAGATTTAAACTGACAGAGTGTGTCTGCCTCCCGAACAATGATAGGTAGATTGTTCCAGAGTTTGCGCACTAATTAGTAAAAGGAGCTGCCGCCCGCAGTTGATTTTGATATTCTAGGTATTATCAAATGGCCAGAGTTTTGAGATCACAGCAGACGTGAAGGACTATAATGCGATGAGAGCTTGCTCAAGTACTGAGGAGCTAGACCATTCAGGGCTTCATAAATAATTAGCAAGATTTTAAAATGTAAACAATGTTTAATAGGGAGCCAGTTTAGTGTTGACAGAACCGGACTAATATGGTCATACTTCCTGGTTCTAGTAAGAACTCTAACTGCTGTGTTTTGGAGCAGCTGGAGTTTGTTTATTAAGCGCGCAGAGCAACCACCCAATAAAGCATTCCAATAATCTAACCTTGAGGTTATGAACACATGAATTAACTTCTGCATTTGACATTTAGAGCATAGGTCGTAATTTAGATATATTTTGTAAGATGGAAAAATGTGGTTTTACAAATGCTATAAACATGACTTTCAAAGGAAAGGTTGCTATCAAACAGCACACCTAGGTTCCTACCTGATGACGAGGAACCATGCCAATGCAATTCCACATTTTCAAAAGAATGTTGTGGTCGATAGTGTCGAACGCAGCGCTAAGATCCAGTAGCACTAATAGAGAGATACAAAAAAGCGATCGTATGATAAGAGCAGGTCATTTGTAACTCTGATGAGAGCAGTCTCTGTACTATGATACGGTCTAAATCCTGACTGGAAATCCTCACAGATACCATTTTTCTCTAACAAAGGGCATAGCTGTGAGGAGACTACTTTTTCTAGTATCTTTGACAGAAAAGGGAGATATGAGATCAGTCTGTAATTAACTAATTCTCCAGGATCAAGTTGTGTTTTTTTAATGAGAGCTTAAATGAAGCTTACTAACAGCCAGTTTAAAGGTTTTTGTTACATATCCTAATGACAATGATAAATTAATAAAATTCATAAGAGGATCTATGACTTCTGAAAGCACCTCTTTTAGTAGCTTAGATGGTATAGGATCTAACATACATGTTGTTGGTTTAGATGATTTAACAAGTTTATACAATTCTTCATTTTCTATATGAATTGCTTGTTATAACACGATGTCAGACTGTTTTCCTTAATCATCTTTAAGCGTAAAGGAGCGACAGTGTCTAAAGTGCTAGAAAAGAAAGAGTCAATAGTTTCTGTTACATCATCAAGTTTTTCTGAGCTATTGGATATGCTGAGTAATCGGGAAGATTATTTACAAAGCAGTCTTTTGTTGTAGAGGTGATAGTTCTACCATATTTGTAACAAGGAGTTGAGTTTGCAGCTTTAGCTATATGGAGTATACACGAGACTAGATAATAATCGGAGATATCATCGCTCTGCTGCAGAATTTCAATGCCATTGACATCAATATCATGTGATAATATTAAATCTAAAGTATGATTATGACAATGTAGGTCCTGGCAAATGTGGTCTAACTCCACTAGAGTTTAGAATGTCTATAAATGCTCATCCCAATGCATCTTTTTCATTATCTACATAGATATTAAAATCACCAACAATTAAGACTTTATCTGCAGCCAGCACTAACTCAGATAGAAAATCAGCAAATTCTTTGATAAAGTCTGTATGGTGCCCTGGTGGCCTGTATACAGTAGCCAGTACAAACGTCACAAGGAATTTATCATTAACACTTATTACACTAGATAATGTTATATAAAGCACATTACTTCAAACAAATTATACTTGAAACCAGACCTCTGAGAAATACTGAACATATTGCTATAAATTGTAGCAACACCTCCCCCTTTACATTTTGCACGCGCCTCATGTTTATAACAGTAATCTTGTGAGGTAGACTCATTTAAAGTAATGTAATCATCTGGTTTCTGTCAAACAGAGCACATCTATGATCTGTGATCATATCATTTACAAAAAGCGCTTTTGTAGAAAGGGATATAATATTCATTAAACCAAGCTTTATCATTTATTTATCTGTATTATATCTGTTTTTTAATTGTTGAACATCAATTAAATTGTTACCCTTAAACTTGTTTGGACATTTTTTGTATTTGCTAGTTCGGGGAACAGACACAGTCTCTATAGTATTATATCTAGTTGAAGGAATCTCTGTGTGCTGAGAATTAACTGAATTATGTGACGTGAGGTGGCTAGCAGACAGTCGGTTTAGCCAGTCTGTCTGCTTCCTGACCTGGGTCCCAGTTAGTCAAGTACAATCTCGAAGACTATGTGCCATATTTCTAGAGAGAAGAGTGGCACCACCCCTGGAGGAATGAAGACCATCTCCTTTCAACAGGTCAGGTGTGCCCCAAAAACTTGTCCAATTGCCTATGTACAATATAACAATATAGTATACTATATTGTTACATTGTAGTGTATGATTTTATGACAAAGCAAATTTATCCAGGTTAAAAATATATTTTATACAACAGTTAGTTCTGGTCCCCTAATTTGATTGGATAAGCTGTGTTTAAGAGGCTTATAACAGCACTTGGATGTTTGACTGTTTATATCACTCTACTTCTCTGTTTGGCCCGTTCTAGACTAGAGTATGTGAATGTTATGGAAACGGAGTAAAGTGGTGTGTTTAACACGCTGTCATTCTGTGCATTGCTTGGCAACACATAAAGCTTGATGCTTCTTTTGAAACTTATTTATTTATTTGGTACATAAAAATGTGTGATATTGCTTAATAATACATGTTGGTGATTTGCCAACATAGAGAATCATCTACAATATTACTAAAGACAATTTTTCAACAGGGTGGCTGTGGGTAAATAGAGCCAAATACTTTGGGCAAATTGTGTGTGATTTAAACAATTCATACTTCTTAGTTGGTCAAAGAGAACTTTGTGAGCAAATACAGGATATATAATTCTGTCTTTATTTAGAAACTTCACAGCTCTGCTTTCAAGGGAAATTATGTGAGATTTGTCGCATAACAACGTGTTGCAGAAGCTACGTCAGTTTCACAAAGCTGGGGAAATCTGCTTCCTATTTTCCAACATAATGCTTGTATGTGGAATACTCTCAGATTGTTTTTCTCCTTACTGTACAGTCCTTACTGTAATTGGGTTTCTGCTCCAGAGGCTTCATGAGCAGCTGTAAACCGCATTAAATCTATGGTAACTATGGCATTACACGGAAAAAAAGCGATCTCCTCGACATCATTTACCCAACTGTTTTTTTTTTAGGGCGGGCCAAAGCAGGTAGTAGGTGGGTATTATGCAAATGTGTATCTTGTTCTGCGTTCATGCCATGTTGTAATTACTGTAATTTCTAGATGACAACATGTGACATCCTTCTTTGAGCTGTTCACATCCTCGGACTCGGAATTATGTGTTTCTATGGCAACACTATCAATGCCTAAATTAATCTGCAGTGGTCACATGGTCACAAGTCGGATCTCTCAGAAATTCCCAGTTTACAAGTTGTAATTTTGAGTTCTACAAGGATGTGAATGCTTTTACAAGTTGGAATCTCACAATTACGGTTATTATGACATGGCGAGAACGCACCTATAGTGACGTAGCTAAGTCATACAAATAATGGCAGGACTACAAACGAAGTGTTTTCTGTCAGAAAAGATTAACTCCCTTTGGCATGGACTTTGAGTAGATTGTTTATATGCAAACAGCTATATTACATGCTAAAGCAAAGGTAAAATTGAAAAAAGCATAGCGGGTGTCCTTTAAAGATCAATGTAGGAAAAGTGTGATGTCTAGACAGATATGTAACAAAGGAATTTTGTACTGCCTAAAGCCCGGTTCACACCAAGAATGATAACTATAAAGATAACGATATTAGCGTCGACACCAGCGAACAATATCGTCTGTTTATTCTAAGTGCACATGCATCTGCCGCTTTAAATCCTTGAGCTCGTTATAGCAGGATGGATTCTGATTGGCTGTCAATGTTTGTATCGTTCATCAGCTGGATGAAAATGATTCCAAGGATATAGTTTCTCTGTGTCTTTATCGCTATAGCTGTGGTGTGTGGACTCTGCTATTCCTTAATATTGAGAATGATTTTTAGACCTATATCTTTAACGTTATCTTTATAGTTATCGTGCTTGGTGTGAACAGGCCTTTACCGTTACAGTGCTTCAGAGTTTCTTTATTATTACATTTTGAATTATTTGATATGAATTAAACACTATTCTTTTTACTATGAAACTGTGCATAGTCCAAACCTGTCTGACACAGAACTGATCACAGAGACTCAATTTTAACAAAATGTGTAGTTGCTGCTTTCTGTCCACCAAGCATCATAAACATAAAGTGGATAGGGTTGATATAGGTTGTTGGAAAGTCAAAAAAGTTGCCTGCTATCAGGCAATGATGAACCATTTAAGCTTTAAAGATGAAAAATAAAGTCTTTAATGAGCAAATTCTCCAGTTTAATTTCAAATAGTTGTGTACTTCATTAACACTACCAATACATTTCTTCATCATCCTATTTGTTTACTGCCAGGTTAAGGAGGCTGAACGACGGCCACAGATGGCCTTCACAGTTCGTCACGCTACTGTATCTTTCCAGACGGATGGCGAGACGTGGCGAGAGCAGAAAGAGAGGAGAGCGGCTCTGATGGTGGGCATCCTGATTGGTGTGTTTGTGCTCTGTTGGATTCCCTTTTTCCTTGCTGAGCTCATCATTCCACTCTGTTCATGCGACATCCCCCCTGTCTGGAAAAGTGTCTTCCTCTGGCTGGGTTACTCAAACTCCTTCTTTAACCCACTCATCTACACAGCCTTTAACAAGAACTACAACAACGCATTTAGAAACCTTTTTTCCAGACAGCGATGAGGAACAGAAAGAAGAAAGACCAGAATGAAAACCTTTGGGTTTTATGAGTAGAAAGTGAGAAGAACATCAATGAAACACTGTCCATGTATCAAGACTGTCCGTCAATCTGTCAGTTCATCCATTATCCATAGACTTAGCTTTAGGGCAGCACAAAATTTTACTTTGCATATGTGTCTATGAGAATAAAGTAATGTCTGTGGTGAGAGTAGTACTCAAGCTTCCCAAAGGTTGAATAAGGAGAGCCAAATACTGAGAGATGAAAAAGGAAATGGAAAGGCAAAGAGTGGGAACATGAATATGTTCTCTCTTGGTATGTTTACTTTGAACATGATGGGGCTTTTCACAAATACCCAATCTTACCCAATCTTGCTTTATTGTTTTCCATTTTTCACACTTGTGAATGAATCACACTGTTTAGGTTTCACACTGTATGTTCATAAATTTTGCGGTGACAATATTATTGGTTGGACAAACAGCACATGACCTGTGTTATAACGCCTTGTCTCGCTCTTGCTCTTCATCAGTTTATATATTTCTGTACCATTCAGATAGTCCTGAATAGGAGACTTTAACTGTAAGAATAAAACAATCTATTATTCACTTCAATTAACTAATTTTCTGTCAATTTTTGACATTTTTATTTTTTCCATGACACTCAGACAAAATGCACCACTCAGGTTCAAATAAGTTAAACATTATAAAAACGCCTTTTGAGACTTTGTGAACATGTAACTTTTAAAAGCACAGAAAGGTTCTATGTGAATCAGCCCTAATACTGCATTGTTTCATTGCAGTGGTGGTTGCCAATGTTTCACTGTATGCCAAAACGTTTACAAGACGTTGTTTTTCTCAGTCACTACGGTACAGAATGAATCATCCTTAAAATCTCTGTGAACTGGAAGTTGCTACTGACTTTAGTATTGTGACGTATTTCCAAATGAAATGGAATATTGAATAGAGGGCGGGGTTTTATTTCAGTGCACCTCACTGCAATATCTTGCTCGCAGCAAACTAACTGTTAGAGGGATGTGGTTAAAGATATTCTGCCCAATCAGAGAAGGAATGCCATTCAAGAGTGGAAGCAGATTTTCACTGTGGATTAACTTGCACGAACTAATTGCTCACCTCAAAACTAGCAATGTGTGCTAACAAAGTGAATAGTGACAGTTTTGATTTCATGTGAACTTCAACATTTGCAAACCCATTTGTACAAACCTGCAGAAGTCGGTATCTTGCTCAAAAAACTTAGTTCATCTCTCAAAAGTAAATATTCAGCTCAATGAACAAATCAGTGCCATCAGAATGACAAGTTCTTGTTCACAAACGAGCATTTTTGTTGCATTGTTGTTCATAAGAGTGTACTCAGTCAGTATTTTCTAAAGTAAAATATGACTAAAATGCACAAGGCTACACTTTTCTTGTATGGTATATATCAGTTATATTACTGTATGTGCGATACTGATCGCAAGAGACTGGACAGGGAAAAGACATTAGGATTTTACAGCACAAAGAAAAAAATATACAAAATTAGAAAAGTAAACATATGAAAAAACCCTTAAAGGGGTCATATGATGTTGCTAAAAAGAACATTATTCTGTGTATTTGGTGTAATGAAATGTGTTCATGCGGTTTAAGGTTCAAAAAACACATTATTTTCCACATACTGTACATTATTGTTTCTCTATGCTCCGCCTTTCAGAAACGCGTCGATTTTTACAAAGCTGAGACTTTATTGCAACTTTACAGATCTTCTTTATGCACCAAGAGCTTGTAACACTCCAAAGAGAAAGGAAAAATTTAAATCGCATCATATGACCCCTAAATCTGTAAATGCAGCACTGTATGGGGGATTAAAGCACATTTTTTGTACACCCCCTGACGTCTCGGTCTGTTGGACCACAGATTCTCCTACACATCTCAAGGGACTTTTCCCTTGCAATGCAGCATAAAAATAACCCTTTGGAATGTCTTATCAGCCACATTCCCCTTCATAGATTCACCTGCAGAGCAGTTCATCAATTCAGGACACATTTACAAAAAAGTCTAATAGAAATGAATTAAAAAAATATATATGCTTGACAGATTATGACAACTGGTTCAACCATTTTACATTTAATGACTTGTGCAATGAACTAATGCCTAGACTTTTTGGGGTGGTAAGACTATTCAATAGAGAACCAACATACAGTAATACATTTTGAACAACACATAAGCAAATGATTACGTAAACAGCAGACAGTATATATCAATTGCAAGAATGTACCAAAGTGGTGGCAATTCATTCAAACAAATGAGAAATTGCTTTTATGATGTACACAAGTGACTATAGTGTGAAGGTTGAACAAGCAGTTTTAAGAATTTCCATTGTCATCTGAGAAATGTAGAAAAGTGACTGAGCAAAGTAAAATGACAATAACCCAGTGTTAAATGCAGTGTTAAACGCCCAACTGAAAAAAATATTAAAGAATGCACCACATTCAAATGTGCATAATCACGGTCCATCATATTTAACCTACTGTGAAGATTGGTAAAACAATGCTCCTGTTTTCTTTCCTCTGATTAAAATTCTTACCCGACCAAGGTTTTCATTGAATTCCAACTTAACACAAGCTGGAATGTCGTTTCAGCATATCTGCTGTGATGTAAGCTGTGCACTTTAACGAAATATAAGTTTTTGTACTATAAGTATTTCTTTTATAAGCAAGATGTAGTTTATATTGTAATATTAGGTTGTTGTGTATGTATTCATTTAAAACCACAATGTCAAGGCTAGATGCCTTCAAAAGGAATTCATAACTGTAAGGAAAAACAACAACAACTGGTAATTGTCTGCCAGGACATTTTCTCTTTTAACGCTAAAATACAACACAATGCAATGCATTATTCAAAATATGAGTATATGGGTACACCTGTGAAAAATCAATATGGAAAATTCCTTATTAACACAGTAAACTGTGTCTTATTTATTTTACAGACTTTTCTTAGAATGTATATGGAAATGCCTTGTGTAATGTGGTTTGCAGGCACATCGCATAATGTTATTGTCTGTACACACTGGTGCAATGAAAAATATGTTGTAAAGGCATGCTATTCACAGTGGAATGCATCAGAGGAAAAGGTGCGTTCATGGTAAATTTGTTCAATCATCTGAGCAATGCTCTTTAGAGACATTCACAGAGAAAGAGAAACATGTTTACTCTTCATTGTTTTGCAGTTTAAAGGCGAGTAAAAGATAAAGGCTATGAAAATTATTTTTAAAATGCTTTTTAGAGAAGATAGCTAGATGTTATTAGATACATATCCTCAGATTTAGAAAAACGTATTAGAAACACACAGTTGATTAAAAGATAAAATCTCTAAATAATTTGTACATTTCATATTACAAGATTGTGAGGATGAAATATGTGAGTTATTAACTAATTTGTCACGATCTCACTGCCACCAGCCACCTCGGCCCTCACCTGCACTCAGTCATTTTCCACACCTGTCACTGCTCATCACCTCCATATAAGCCTGTCACACATACAGTCCCATTGTCTGGTTTGTGACTAGGACTAATCCTGTGATCTATTCACCTTGTGGATTCTTCCTCATGTCTGAAGTTCCAGTCTCCTTCTCCAATCTCCAGTTCTCATTGTGTTCGCGTATTAAGACCTGCAAGAGGAATATTCTGCTCCCTACAAATTCCTTCACCAGTCTCCAGTGCTCCCCTTGTGTTCCCCATCACCCTGTAAGATAACCCTGCCAGTTATTATCTTTCAGCTACCAAGATCCATAAGTGTGTATATGGTGCTACTCACCTCCTTCCACGGACATTACAGCTCACTCTCTCTCTGTTGTTGTTGCGTATACTCTCCTTTTCACAATAAATTCTCCACTGTTGTTTCACCAAACTATCTGAGTTCTCTGACAATATTTCCCCTTGATAGTGTGTGTTCATATTATACTATGCTAGGGTGACCAATATGTCCTCTTTTTCCTGGACATGTCCTGGCTGGGATTTCTAAATTGCCTAAAATGTCCAGGTTTTGGCTTTGTTCTGGACGTATGATCACCTTATACTGTGCTGAATTGAATTGAATTGAACGCCTTTATTGTCATTGTATTTTTCTGCATACAACGAAATTAGGAGCACTGCTCCTGACTGGTGTTAGAAAAACAAACATATAACCACAGACAATAAATAAGACTATAAGACTGTACAGTACAATTTTACAAGTAAATACAACAAGTGACTGAGTCATGATATTCACATTGAGCAATCTGAGTAAAGTGACCATTTATAGTATTGCACGTTGGCCTTCACATTGATATGCACAGTAAGTTTATACAAAAGTACAATTTAATTGGAATGAGTAACTGTGGTGATTTAGTGACTAGAGATAGTATTGCACATTGACATATAGTGTATATTATTGCACATATATTATTGCACCTTTACTGCAGATATAGTGTTCACATTTAGTAACCAGATATGGTATTTCACCCTGACATACTATTTAGTGCATTGTTTGAAGTTCTGCAATAAAGTGTTCAGACAGTGGTATTGCAGATTGACATACTGCGTATTGTACAATATTGTATATTGCATGTTGTATAGCAGCAGTATAGACAGAAGAGATTTGAATGAAATAAGTGACTGTAGTTAAAAGAATAACGTGGTTGGAATAGTATTTTAACATTAGTGCATTTATGAGTTTAAAGTCCTGATAGCAACTGGGAAGAAACTGTTCTGTAAGCGAGTGGTTTTTGCTCTTAAGGATCTGTACCGCCTGCCTGAGGGCAGAAGATTAAACAGGTGGTGTCCTGGATGGGATGTGTCCTTGATGATGTTTTTGGCCCTTGAGAGATAATGGGAGTGAGCGATGCTTTCCAGGGAGGGTAGTGAGAGCAGCCAGTGATTTTTTGGGCAGTGTTGATTATTCTTTGGAGGGCTTTCTTGTCTGCTGCAGTGCAACTGGAGTACCACACTGAAATGCAGTACACTAACTCACTCTCTATGGTAGAGCGGTAAGAGGACAAAAGCAGCTTATACTCTAGGTTGTTCTTCCTGAGCACTCAGGA